ACAAACAAACAAACAAATAAACAAAACATACATGCGTACATGCATACATACATACATACATACAAACATACATACGTACATACATACATACATACATACATTACGCACGCATGCAGGCATACATACATGTATACACGCTTACAAACACATTCACACATACACACATACATACACGCATACATACATGCATACATACATGCATGCATACATGCATGCACGCATAAACACTTTCGTATTTACTGGTTTACTTGCTTCCTTCCTCGCGTGCTTGCTTACATATTACATACCTCGTTGCTTGCTTGCTTACTTACTTACTTACTTACTTACTTACTTACTTAGAAAGCCAGATACATCCTTACCTACATACTTACAACGACCAACACCTCCACCGCCATACAGAAAGAGAAAAAAGCATACATAACCTCAGCAACAAAGAACTGAAACACATGGGCTTGGAAGCTTACACACGCGCGAGCCTGTGAGAATCATTGGCCCATTGACCATCTGGATAACTCGCTGCCCTAGCCTGTTTAAGTAGGCGCCGATACCAACTGAGCGGCCCGTGACATAGGACAGTGTAAAGACCTCGTTGTAGGCCTTGGACGTCTCTCCTGCAATGAGCCCGCTACCTCTCAGGTTTTCGACTCCGATACCTCCCTGTGTTGACTTCAAGCCCTCACCGATGATGGAGTCGATGACATACTGCTTCTGGCCCGCCACAGTGACAGTGTGCGTCTCTACTGCCCCCTCCGGCAAGCTTGTAGCATCCTTCTCTTCAAGATACAAGTAGTCAAACCCTTTGGAAGGATCATCATCGGTCCATTTGGCCTTCACGAAAGGCTTAAGCTCCTCTGCCAGGCCAACACGCGCTCCACTGTTGCATGCGATGTGGATGCGGGGAAGACCTCGCTGGCGGGCATATTCGGAAGCCTTTTGGAAAAGATCGTCCTCGTCCACACCGAAGGAGCCAGCCTTGTGCGTAACATCGTTAGCGATGAGCACGATGTCACGGCCTTCCGGATACTCCGGGCTTTGCAGCGTGCAGCACCACGCAAGCATGCCAATGTTGTGCTGGCCCGGCTCCCTGTCCACCTCTTTCAACTCCCCATCCTCGCTGAGCACCAATTCGGTGCTTTTGAAGATGGCACTTGGCATTTTCCGGGAGCCTCCAGACTCCTGGTACATGTTCCATTTCTTGATCAGCTCGATCTTCAACATGCCGAGGAAGTCCGGTGCATAGGTGGACCCGGCATTTCTGGCGAGCGACCTCCGCAGCTGCAAGCGGCTCTTCGCTTTCGCGGAAGCCAGCTGCGTCTTCTCACCGCTCTTAATATCGAACCATTCCTTCGGAGAGCCTGTGATGGCGTCGTAGGTCTCAAGCGCGCCGCTTGTGCGCAAGTACTCTCCTGTAAGCGAACTTGCAGTGAGCCGAAGCGTCTTCTTGCGTTCCATCTGACTTCCGATGCCAATCTTCACCACGATCTCGTCGACCTTCATCTTGCCCAGACGGCTCTGGTGCCTGGCAACGAAGAGGTTGAGGAACCCCTCCAGCTTGGCATAGGCGTCCGAGGGCTCGACATCGACATTAGCCACGATGTGGGCGAAGATATTGCTGTTGGGACCATAACCGATCTTGGGATTCAGGCGGGCACGCTCCACTTCATCCACGGCATTGAGCAGAAGGTTCTCCAACGAATCCGTCCATGCTTTCTCATTCTCGGGAAAATCCCTCAGCGAGTGCTTGATCATGCCTCGGAAAGACCCGAAGGCCCTTGCGGCCCTTGCGCTCACAACTCCGGAAACTCTATGTCAGAAGCGTTCCTGAAGAGGTCATGAGTCTAAACTCACCTCAACACCCCTTCCGAAGCAGCGAGCATGCGCGTGCAGCTTCGGGTGGCGCACTCGCACTAAGTTAAGCAGACCCGAAGGGACTTCGGCACACACGCACACACACACACTCGGAGGCATGTCGATGGCCGGGTTTAGGGCTTTCACGGATCAAGAGCTCTCTTCGCTACTTTAGCACCAGGGCTCTACTCGGTAGTTGTCCGGACTGCTGCTGTTGCTCCTCCTCGTCCTGCTGCTGCTGGCATAGACTACATACATGAAGGTATGCAGTTGCCAGGCTGTACAGATGCAAGACCAGGTCACGTGCAAAGATTGTGGACGGATTCGTTCGGGAAGGCACGGCATCAACGGGTGTGCCAATGTACACCTTCGGCAGAGATGACACGCTCGCAGCAGCATGAAGGATGCACAGCTACCTTCCTCTATTCCAAGATCTCGCGCCTGCGAGTTGCGGCCCACAGGAGGCATCACCTTCTCCAACTTGTAGTCTTCGGCGAGGCGGTAGACTTCCAGTACATTTGGCAAGGATGGCTTCATGTCACCTTGCAGAAGCATCGATGCGCATTTCTGAAAGAAGCCGAATACAAACTTGTCAGGCCGGGCGCGGGTGGCCAAGTTTTCCTTCCAGTCATCGCTGCCCATAAAGGATGCATAGCGCAAGGCATGCGGCACATTGGACACCACCAAGCCGACCTGCAAAAAGTCTGTCAGCCTGTAAGCACTGGCAAGTTTTAGCCAGCAGCTTCCTGGCCTCTCGGATGCCAGCGGATTGCAAATTCGCATTCGACTTCAAGAGCCCCTCCATTTCCGAGCTCATCTTGTCAAAAGCGGTATCACCAGGAGAAGTCACGATTACCTGATCGGCCCCGGACCCCGATGCAAGGAGGTTACGGGCACGGACTTCTTCTGGCTTCTGGCCTTCATGGTGTTCCTGTTGCCATCGACATTATCCATGCAGATGTCCTCTTTCAAAGCCTCCTTGGCGGCGGCGAAGTCGGTGACCACCTGCGACTGGGCAGCCCGGGTATTCCCGCAATTTTGTTTGTCTTAGCTCTTTGCTTTGGAAGCCTCTACAAGAATCCAAGAGTCTCTGCAAAAGGCGCTCTATGAATGGTCCTGCCTTGATGTGAGCCTCGCGGAAAGCATCCGCATCCGCTGTGCCCGGGAACTGGAATTTGAAGTTGCAACGCATGTCTCCAGCCCCCTGATCCGTGATGTTGACGTCCTGGAGCGCAAGGTGATGCAAGACTCGATCCATGCACGGCTCAAGCTGCAACCGTCCTTGATGATGAAGGATCGGTACAAACGTCTCACCAATGCATCAAGAGCATTCTTGCGAACCTTCGCTGCTTCAGTTTCTGCTGCGTGTCCAGAACCATCCGAAACTGACTTGCTGAGTCTTGTCACTGTAAACATGCAGGCAGGCAACCCTTGCAGATTCGTCCAAGAGCAGGTTGGAGAGAAGTTCTGCCCCAGCCTGTGCCGACTCCATCTGCGCAGACCCTACTGACATCCCAACACTGCCTCGCACAAGCCCCGCTCACCACGCACGATGTGCACCTTGCTAGCGGCCATTCCAGAGATGGGCTTCAGGTCAGGGCCGTCGGTGTCCAGCAAAGACCGCAAAGACGCACTCCTGTCCTCCGATCGCGGAAGGCTCATTTTTTGATCTCAGGGGTTCTGGGGACAATTTGTGAGACGGTGCTTTGTCCTCAAATGGCTCGGAGCTCAACAGCGCCATCGTCGTCTCCCTGAGCTGCTTGATTACCCACATAGTTGCACTCTTCGAAGTTTTGTCTGGCTATATCAATGTCATTCAATATTTATACACATCTCGCACAAATGAGCTCTTCGTGCCAGCTTGGAGTCGCCACCAGGACCACCTCGCCATAGCCACCTGGATGGGGCGGGAATGGACGCGAAAAGCTAAGGCCTCCCTGCAAGCTCTCATCTCAAGCCTGTGTTGTCAAGCTCCGCCAAGCGCCCGATCCTAGGGGAGAGGACAATGTCAAGTTCGGCCGAGACCCTCTCCAATGCCACCATGTGTCTTCTGCATCAGGCTCGCCGAGGGGTTGAGTTTGCGCAAGCTGCGCAATGCTGCCAGGACCACTGCCTCGCAAGGATTTCCGAACCTACAAAGCTGTGAGGCTGGCGGGTTCCGTCTGTCTTCAAGATGTAGAGAATTCAAATCGCGCCAGTTCTACACCCAGGAGCAAGCAGGCGGCATTAGCTGCATGTAGCTGGAACGCGGAGCAACGAAACACAAGTGGCTTTAAGCAGACAGCTTAGGACTAGGTTTTGAATTCGTTTTGAACAGTTTGGCACGAACAAGACGTCAACAGGCATCTAGACACAATGTCGGTTGATTTGGCTCTTGAGAGCAAAAGCCAGCGAACCAGAGATCCACAAAACAGGCACAACTAAAGACTCTGCTCGGGCAAGGTACACTGCGCGTGCTGAGCTGGCCATGGGCAAGAGCCAGTGAGGCAACCGCAGCCAAGTTCTCCTGGCTGCTGTGCTTTGATCTAAAAGCAAGCAAGGCCGTGCACTCACACGAAAACGAGTTGCTCTCCTTGTTCTGCGCGATAAGTTCCGCATAGATTTGGTCGTTGGTCAACTTCTCCTTGATGAGGGGCGAGAACTTTTCCTCCACGGCCAAATAGCGTTCCACCAGAGCCGACGCTACATCATCGCATTCAGCCTGGCCGGGTGTTGCTGAACTGCTTTGCGCAGAAGCTACATGCTCGCGCCTGGTCTGAACTCGGAGGCTTTGCAGCCCAAGCAGAGGAAAAGGCAAACCACGACAGCACAAGCAAAAGATAGCAGAAGCACCTCATAAGAGACGCAGCCAACTCTCAAAAAAGGACACGAGAATAGGAGGTTTGGAGATCCGAAAGCCAGAGGCGTCTCCACGAGGCCCCAGCCGTACACGAACGAACGCCTCTCCACGGCTCTGCTTCTCGGAACCATTGAAGCACTACGGCTACGAATAACCCCATGAGCTCACAGAGTCTTAGCTGCCTCGGGAAGCTGGGAGAACATCTTCTGGGCCATGAGTGCCGGCTCTTCTTGCGAAGTGAAACCATCCAGCACCATCTCCAACTGCCCTTGCAAGCTGCGGTCCTCCCGCGGTTCGATTCAGGCCTACTGGGAAGCCTGCCCGGGCACCCCCTTTTTTACTGTAAAGCCTACAGGCAGCTACAATCAAGTTTGTTTCTAGGTTCCAGGTGATTCAGACATTCCGTCAGACACGATCTATGACTCCTTGGCTGGCTTAGCGAACTGTCCTTTCCATTCCCATCCGCCGAAATCGCGAAAGAGCCGTCGAAGGGAACAATTTTCTTCACCTTTGAAGGATCAGAAAGCTGGAGATTGGCCAGGAGCTCGCCTGCGGAAACAATGCTGCCAGCTCCCCGGACATGGCTCACCTTGCCAGTGGCGGTTGCCTTGATGGGCATGATCATCTTCATGGCCTCAAGCTCCACGTAAGGCTCTCCCTCCTTCACCTGTCCGCCATCATCCTGCAGGTATCTCACGATCTTTCCGTTGAACTCCGAGCGAAGCTCGGAAGGATCGTAAACCGTAGGAAGCATGATCGTGCCAATGCCATCCAATCGAAGTCGGAGGCCAAGAGCTTCATCAGAGCCCATCACGCGCATCACCGTCTTACCCACGGAAACCAGGAAAGTGCCGTCAGGCTGTGCCATGACTTGTGCCGTGAACTTCTGGTTTTGAATGCTCAGTTCGAGGAGCGATGGTCCCAAGCGAGAGACTGAGAACTGGTATTTGACACCCTCGAAGGTAATTTCAACAGGGAACGTGTTCATCTTGGACATGTCCCGAAGAGGTCCAAGCTGGCTCTTTGCCAATGCGGCCTCCACTTCCTCATCAAAGGCCTTCAAATTCTGGACAGCCCTAAAGACGGCAGCATAGAACACCACGTCGTTGATGTTATATCTCAAAGTGACCGACTTCTCTTTGATCAGGCCATCCAGCCAGGAGGTGTCGATGCTGTTGGCAACGAAGGCCTCCTGCTGAAGAAGCTCGACAAGGTACTCTACGGGATTGCGGATCTCGCCGACGACCTCAATGTTCTTCAAGGACAGCATCAGAGCTTTACGCGCCTCTTCACGGTTTGCGCCGTGCGCGAAGATGTGTCCAAACTGCGAATCAGCGTATTCGTGAATTCCGCCTTTCGCGCCGATGCTGAAGTAACCCCAACATGAAACCGAACTTTGGAATTTGATTCGCTCGATTCTGCCACTTGTGGGCTTGAAGCCATCATCGGGATTTTCCGCGGTAATTCGAGAGGCGATGACATGCCGGTCCGGGTAGACGTACAAGTCTTCCAAGAAGCTGATCGGAGATGTCTTGTCCGTGTCGCTCTTGCCGTAGAAGCGTCGGATTTGGGGAACCATTTCCAAGGGAACGCCGCTGCACACAAGCATCTGCGTGGCTGGCAAGTTGACACGTGTCAGCTCCTCTGTCACTGGATGTTCGACTTGAAGGCGCGGATTCAATTCGAGAAAGTAGAACTTGTTCTCTTTGGAATTGTAAAGGTATTCCACGGTTCCTGGGCGGGATCAGCTGCATATGGGACGTTAGACAGATGCTTGCTTCAAGGGGTTGGCCCTAAATGTGGGTGCCTGCATGCCCAAAAACATGTTCTCATGTCTCTCTTCCCCGCTCGGAGCCCATCTTCTACCTGTTAAGACTTAAGACGTATCAAACCCAGTAAATGCTTCACGGCTAGTATTGCTTGCTTCGAGCTTGGGAGCTTTTCCTGCGATGTACCCGCCTTGTGGAGGCGCGGCTACGACCGCGACTTGACGCTCTCTCTTTCTTTGCGTCGCTGCGTCGGACGGGCACGCTCTCTCCCTCTCGCCTCCCTCACATTGCTCAAGTGGTCAATGTATTAAACCTCAGCCACCATAGACCACCACTACAGCTGCGAGAATCTTGGGATTCTCTAGCTCAGGTCGCTCTTGGATGTTCTTACTACTGTTCCTGACTTGTCCATATTAGGCCAAGCTTCCAGCACCAATGTACCCAATATTCTGAGTGAGCCGCTGGGCTGCCCTCTCCATCTCGAGGAATGTTTCTCTGGGCACGACAACCGGTGGTCCTTCCTCGAAGATCTTCTGGAAGCGCCTCTGCGTAGAGCAGTCGCGGCCGTTAAGGGCAACTGCATTCCCATACTCGTCTCCCATAATCTGAACTTCAATGTGACGAGCTCCCTGACAAAGCTGCATCATAAAAATGGGAGAGCCCGGCACCTCGTTTTGAACCTGGAAGAAGCTGCTCTCGAGGTCCTTCTCTTCCTGCACCATTCGGATGCCTTTGCCCCCTCCTCCCTCCGAGGCCTTGATCATCACCGGGAAGCCGATGTGCTTGACTGCTTCCTTCGCCTGCTCAACTGTGGAGACGGTTCCTTGGTCGAAGATCTCCTTGGGAATGGTGCCATCCGGGCCAAGGTCGGCTTGCAAGCCGTCACCACTCCAAGGAATCGATGGGACACCGGCCGTCTGCGCCAGAATATTGGCTGCGATTTTGTCCCCGAGCACGGACATGACAGGCGAGGTGGGTCCGACAAAGGTGATTCCCAGCTCCTTCAGCTGACTCGGCAGTTCGGGATTCTCAGACGCATGACCCCAGCCAGGCCAGACGGCATCTACACCCTGCGACTTGGCGATCTCGACGATCAAATCCACATTGGCATAGTTGTTGACATTCTTTCCCCCCGGAACTTCGATATAGGTGTTTGCCAACCGAATGAACTCGGCATTTGCCTCCAGATCCTCTGGAGTGGCCATGACAACAAACTCGAAGGCATTGTCCAATCCGAGCTCCAGGTAAGCCCACTGACGCAATGAAAGGATGGCTTTTGTGGCGGCCATGCCATTGTTTGCAATGAGCCACTTTCGCAAGACTCGCTTCCCGCCCAGGTCCTTGATGTACTGCTCTAAAACCTTCTCGGGGTCGCCTGCCTCGGTGGACTTCTCCAAAATGGCTGATGGCTGGCCCAAGCACGCTGTCAAGCCATTGATATTTTTGGTGGTTCCACTCCCACCCCGCTTCTTCGCACCATGTCCCATCATTGCTGCCAAACCCGTGAGTGTCGCAGCTCCTGCCGTGCTTGAGAGCGCTCGGCTGGTGGGCTTGGACTTGGGCACAGAGCCATGCTGTGTGGGCTGTGGCTGTGACCGGGCTCGCGGTGCGAGGTTGGAGGGAGTGAAAGCCAACAGCTCGTGCGCCAGGGGCACGGCTGCCACACCGGCAGCCACGGCAGCTGCCCGTTTTCTGGCAGCGTCTTTGGTCATCTCCAGGACCGCAGCTACGCGGGCCTATGCTCAGGCTGTAGCGGCAAAGCGCTGCGTCATGGAAAGCATCAACGACCACTCCGACGACTTTTCAAGCTCAGGCTCTTCTGCTTTATTCGAAGGACAAGTGATACAAGTGCTGCTGGCAAGTCTCAATTGAAGCACAACATGAAGCCGCACCCACCCCCTTGCCTGCCCCTTACTCAGACTCAGGGCAGCGCCACGTGAACACCTGCTGGCGAGAACCTTGGAGCAAGGATAACGACGCCAACGACGAGGACGACAACAGCGACGGCGGTGGGAACAGAAACAGCAGCGGCGGCAGCAACAACAAAAAAAGAGCGCTACGAATGCTTCATCATCACGATTACCGAAACTTCTTTCTTCTTCATCACCATATATCACCATCATCGCTAGCATATGTCGTCAAAATCACCTTCTTCTTCGTCAGTATCACCATCTTCTTCATCAGCATCATCACACCGCCATCACCATCGCCACAGCCATCAGCAGCTCCATCATCGACCACAACGACAACCAGAAACACGACCACAAACAACCAGTCACAACCACGACCACAATGTCGAAGAATAGGAGGAAGAAAGGACAAAAACCAACCTCGTCGTCGTCCTCACCAGTTCCAGAAACAACAACATCGTTGGATCTGTCAGTAGCAGCCGCATCATGTTTATTATAACCGTTCTGGAAGTTGCTTGCAGTTGCTGCCGTGAGCTGCGAATCATGCCGGAACTACCAGGTTACCAGAACAATAAATTTCCTCGTCGGCGCATCAACCTCTGACTGCGGCAATGCACTCCACGTCGAGAGCGCCAAATGCAGCTCGATCTGCCAGCCTACAATGAATTAGATGCAGGAAGCCGTGTGGCCTGGAAGACAAAACAACAAAACAGCAAGGGCTCGGGGCCGAGCACATGCAGTCCTAACAAAATCTGCCTGGCTCAAGCGATCTACTTTCCATACTACACCATCATGGTATCACATGATCTTCCAACATCGCTTCCTATGGCAGCACATTATTCATCCACTTGGGCACAGGTCTGGCAATATGAGGCAGGCACACAAATTCATGTGACTCGCCTCGTCCGGGTATTGGTAAGAGTAAGAGGCGTTATTGGTGTTGGTATACTAGGCCTATTACTAGGCCTTTGGGCACTCATAGCTTCTACGCGTGGCGGTTCAAACGCACGCCTCTTGCTGTTGCTGCACTTGTCGAGGGAAGCGGTCACTGATCAAAGCAGCATGTTTCCGCGGCCCTTCGTAGGGAAGCCTGCGAAGCATTGAACGCAGCAGCTTGACTGAGACATCGAAATCTCTGCACAGCCGCCAAAACCCTGCCTTCCGTGCGCATAATGCCAGTTGTCCACGACCACAACCTCATAGACATCTGCTGAAAATCTGTTAGTACCGAAATGCTGGAGATTTTCGGCTTCGGGCGGATACCCACCTTTCCTGGCAACACTACACGAGACCTGGCCACCCTGCTGGATCTTCAATAGACTCCCATATCTGCTGACTGAGTCACATCTCCTTCCTCAAGCTTCACCGAAACCCAGAGGGACCGGGTAACCGCAGCCCGAAAGGCAGCGAGCTCCCACTCCTCGAACTCGCTGCCATCCCCCCAAGTCGAGTGCAACGCCGGAATTCCAGTTCCGTAGTTCACAGATTTGTGGCTATCGAGGATGGACTGAAGAACGGCTTTTGCCGGCTTCGTCTTTTCGTGAGAGTTTGATGTCATGTTTATCCACGTCACTGCTGGCACCGTCCAGTTCAGGATAACCGTGCCCTGCAACCAGGGGCCCAATTCAGCCCCTGGTTTACCCCCCATCATCTCGTCCAAACTTGCAAGGCGCTTTGCCTCTGGCCAGCTTGTTGTCCCGAACCTATCCTGCCACATTCCGGTGGCATAGCTCCAGTTTGCTGAATGGACCTGGTCCCCCATCACCCGGAAATATGTCAATCCAAGCTTCGCCAGCTTGTCGGTCAGGTTTCGCAGCTCCGTGCCAAGCAACACATTGTCAAACAGCTGTAACTCACCACCAGTGTCAGCAGCCCTCATGCAAACAAAGCCGCAAAAGCGGGGAACCTGGTACAGGTACGCCTGCTCACTGTGTGGTGACACTGGCAAATGCGCAGGTGCACCAGCTGCCACATCGTAGATTCCCTCGCTCAGCATTGGCCTTTGCACGGTGCCGACCTTGTTGTAGTTTCCAAGCCCCAAGCCAGGATGGCCAGCTGCCTGCCAAGCTGACATCGCCAGGTTCTCAAACTCCTTGGATGTTGGAACCTCACCTTTGATCAGCACTGCTCCGACGGAAGCGAGCATCGATCCCGCAGCCTCCGGCCCTTGGCTACGATGCACCACTGGGATAGCGGAAGCTGCTTCAACCTGGCACACCGCAAGCGACAGCCAGCCCCACACGGCCATGCATGACCGGCGCCCAATGCTCTCCATCGCCAAAGAATGCACCGAAATCCTAGTAATTGGAAGCTACTGTCCCCATCGAGATCAGGAACGGTCAATGTCATGCAGAGACATTGACGGCCATCCTACATGCTTTCATCAGGTCTTTTCTTGTTCAGACTCGTGACATCGAGGCCTCTGGGCTATTCTCCACGGCTCCCTGAGGCTCTGAGGGGTGGACTTCACGGAGGCCGGACTGCAGCCATCGTAGCCCTTGTCGGGGCCTAGCCTGTCCAAACCCAACTCGGACAGACTCGGACATAGGAGTCCCAGTTACCGTTGCTCCGATTCGTGCTGTCAACACTACATCCTTCAAAACATGACATTCGTACGACCCTCGATGTTCGTTCTCTCTCGCACCGCCGAAGCTGCGAGGCCCACCAAGTCGTACTTTCCCTACCGGCAGGAGCACGAAGCAAGTGTACACGTCATGCAGGCTCCTGAAGCGCTGAAGCTGCCTACTTCAATCCATCCTGTTCTCAGTATAAGACTACCATGACACCGAGCCGCATCAGTGCTAATATCCGTTCAGCAATACGGACTGTAGAGTAGCACCCATAACACTACACCACTACAGCTGTGAATACCCTAGAAAAGCCCTGCCACTTCTTTGCCATGCTTGCTAGAAACTGGTGTTCAATGCACAGATGTGACCATTGCTGTTGTGGCTGATGCCATTTATCTGGTGGTAGTAGTAGTCGTCGTCGTGGTCGTGGTGGTGGCAGCAGAAGTAGTAGTCGTAGTTGTTGTGGCAATAGCAGTAGTAGTCATCGTCGCAGTAGTAGTAGTAGTAGTAGTAGTAGTCGTCGTAGTAGTAGTAGTAGTAGTAATAGTAGTAGTAGGAGTAGTAGAAGCAGTAGTAGTAGTAGTAGTAGGAGTAGGAGTAGGA